TTTGCACTCTTCGTATTCGAACACTAGGGGGAATGATATGAGGATACGGCAACAATAACTGCCACGTCAACCGGGGAAGAAAAATACGGAAACAAAATACATCATCGGGATCGGGGACTGCACAGTCAGCCTCATAGAAACAAGTTGTACAAGATTGCCACAAGTAATGGCAATTTCTTTTCTGCATAGAAAAATGCTTATGTATTTTTTGAAAATAGAAGAAATAAAATGAAATCCTTTTGTTTTTTTATCTTGTTTCTTGTGTGAACGATGAGCTAACTTTGTAATTTGAAAGTTACAAATGTTAGTGCCGTAATGAATAGGAGATGTCCTCTTCAAGAGCACCGTAAACATAACAAGGTACTCTCTTATAAAAACCTTCACATTAAAGGGTTGGTTCCGGAAAAATCTATACCCGGAATCTAAAATGCCATCGGGAAAAAATACATCTGAAGTTGCATATGAAAATGATGCAAAGAGTAAACTTGCACAAATACTTATAGAAACCCTCACGTAAAAGGGATAATGCTCGAAACCAAAATGCTTCGAGGAGAATGCATCCGAGACTACACATAGTAAAGCGCAAACAGAAAAACGTGCGCATAATTCTTGAGCAAGTGCAAAGGTTAAAGACCTGCATGGATATTCAAACGAAAGTAAGACTTAAACGATACTTGACCAAAAAATATGTCTTTATTTATAATAATGTTTCAAAATGGTAAAAATACAAAATGGGAAAAAGAAAAGAAAAGGTAAACTGCAGCGCCTCCAGAACCAGTAGGAAGAGAAATGTCCGCATTCTCGGGAAATGTAGGTAGGCCCACCGATGGCTCGATATTTTCCCCAGTTTGGTCTTCAGCATTATCGCCTTCCGATCCCAATTCAGTTCCTAAAAATTTGGAACCGGAACCAAAAGAACCAGGAGCATCAGATTGCACCGGGAGTCCATTTTTAGCAGCCAACTCAAGCTCTCGGGCCTTAGCAATTTCAACATTAAAATCAATGATACCAACTTTGGCCTCTTCCAAGGTTTTTCTCCTCATGCTTTACATTGCATAAGTTTTTTCAAGAATGAGGGAAGCCGCTCGGTGTTTAAGTTCTTCTTTGAGTTGGGAAACCTCGGCAGAAAGGCTTTCCCAGGCGGACCTAACAGCCTTGAGGATGACGTCAAGGTCGCAAACAGTTGAACTAAAGAGTCTGTTATGCTCGATAGTTTTCCTGTACTTCTCTTCTAGTTGGGCGTGTTTCGCCCCCACAGCAGCAAGCTCTTGGATTTTGGAGTTCAAGGCTACTTTGAGTGGGTTAGTTTTTCGGCAGCAGCAACCTCGAAGCTCGGTTGCAGTAAGAACGACATCCTGGACTTCAGCCCATTTGGCCTTGGCTTCATCAAATCTAACCCTCAGAGGCCCAATTTCTTGGCTAAGGATTACCACTTCTTGCTCACTTTGCTGGAAACGAGCCTCCAAAACAACGGCCTCAGTAACTATGGTTTCCAGTTCTGAGAGGCGGAGAACAATTTGTTCTCGTTCCACCAAAAGCTGATTCCGTTCAGAAGTAAGTTCTTCCTTTTAACGAATCAACCTTTGAAGACCCTCAGAAGCAAGAAAATTGGCCTACAAGATAGGAAGAACTAAAACTTACAATACATTCATACAAAAGTAGAAGAAGTAGTGAAGGAAGAAAAGGACGTACCGCTGAGGCGTTGTGCATGGCATTGTTCAACAAGCACTCTCCCGAGAGTGCCTGAATCTTTTCCTAGTCTTTTTCTGAAGCCAAAGGCTTTAGATAATTAGCAAGCTCCACCGTCCGGGATAGAAAGTTGCATCCGGTAGAGATCGAAAGAGTAACGTTCCTCCTCATTTGTGGATCTTCAGAAGGGGCAGCATAATTTTGCCCCAAATTCCCATGAACTAGGGACTGTGGAAGAGTAACACCTTCTTCATGGTCTGGTGCGGCAGATGGAGGTGACGAAGCAACTGCTGGTGGAAGAGTGGATGAAGATGGAAGTGATGTAGCAGTTGTTGGTGAAGGTGGAGATGAAGCTGATCTTGTTGAAGAATGGAAGTAGCTGCATAAAATGCAGTGCTGGCTATTGGATGCTCGCCAACCAAAGATGGAAAGGACTCGGTACTCAGCCCTACAACACCGGCTACAACAATTGGGGCCCGAAAATGGGAGTTGGCATTTTCTACCAAATCAGATTCTCCCTAAAGTGTCGAGACATCGTCTTCAGTTGGTGTAACTATCCCAACAGGTCGAACATCCTATTGAGATGATGGGGATCGTTACCTTCTATGAAGGGAAGCTCCCTTATCACTAGCTTCTTCGTCATCATCAATCATCGCCACCGTAGATGACTCTGGGGCATCAGTCTTTGCCCTCTTATTCTTTTCCCCGACCGCTGAGGAACATCTTCTCTTTGTTTGCTTATCCTCCGGCCGGGGACTCCGTAAAGAAGTGTTTGCACACGAAACAGGCCCGGAGATACCTGTTCGAGTGAGTGCTTCCTGAAGCAGCCTTGCTTCATCATCACGATCAACCAAAACATCTTCCTCGAGGACAACAACAGAGCATGCAGGTAGACCTAATTCCATGAACAAGTCAGAAGGGTTCAACCAAGTGCTTCATATACAAAAGATGGAAGCAAGGTAAATTAAAAGTACCATGATTTTTGGCCTTTCACTCGTATTTAAGGGCTAGTTCTTTCCACAAATGAGTTTCGGGTGTTGTGACATCCAAGATCTTCTGAACCCACCAGTGGGATCCATCGAGTTGCTAAAACATGCGAAGGGTGAAGAGCTGATATGACCACAAAGGAATATCTAGTAAATAAAATACAAAATAATGAACTTACGAATGCGGTTCCAAGCGGCCGGAAAGGACGAAGCTGTTGTTGGAATGATGTCGTTGATGGCAACTACAACGAATCATTCCATCCACCTACGGGCGTTGTCATCATCCATGCTAGACAGCAAAGCATGGTGGACACGCTTGTAAAGGCTTACCATTCCCCCGCGGAAGATTTTGGGGGAATAGAGATTCAACATATGAGCTAAGGTTAGCTCCTCTTCAATTTCCTGGCACAAGCATCGAAGATAGACGACTATCCTCCACACTGAAGGACTTACTTGTGCCAAACACACTTGGTAGCGAAGGCAAAACTCCGCAATCACGGAATCAAGCTCTCCACTCAAAGAAAACGCACTCAAAGTAAAGGGATACGTGTAAAAGTATGTAAAACCTTCCTTGGGAAGGGTCACTCGCTCCGATAGATCAGGAGTGATGATATCCAACTCATGGAAGCGACAATCTTCCTTCACAGAAGGAATACTGGAAGGACGAATGGAAGAATGGTACTTACTAACAGCCCATGTACGAGGGTTACCAGTAGGGAATTTCTCTTCAAGATCCTTTGTGGTACTGAGTTTTCTTGGGATGATGGAACCTACCGTTAGAGGAATAGAGTCTACAGTTTTGTTCTTGTTCTTTGTAAAACCAGTACGCTTAGAGGAAGAATCCATTGAAAACGAAGAAGGAAAATGTTTTGTGTTTGAAGAGAACTAGAGAAAGAATGGAATACAAAGATGCAAATCTGGAGTTCGAGAAATTATGAAACGCAAAGGAAAGAATGTGGCATATAAGAAAATTTTGGCGGTTAAATTCATGGACATGATTACCTCGATAATCAGCAAAAGTTGTGCTGAATCATGGGATAACGCGTGTTCGGGGCTTTAAATGCGGAGAGACGTGAGTCTAATCAACTGTCAGGGACTTTCAGAGGGAGTTATAGTAATTCCTGCTAAAAAGGTATTTCTACCAACTTCCCGGTAACACAAATTTATGTCACCGGAAAGCAGGAAGACTATCTGTATAGGGTGAAATATGATATGACACGTAGTCGTCGAAAGGGGGGACACGTGAAACTCAAGAAATGAATGACCGAAGACGGAACGCATCTATTCCATTTATCACTGGAAAGGATAACGTTCATAAAGGTGTGTTAAATGCTCTGCGCCCGGTAGAATTTAATAGGGAATATTTTACAGCATTAAGAGCGACGGTCCGTTACAGAGAATTTGGCATTTATGTCCACCGTTGCGTCTTCATCAATGACCCTCATAATTGACATTAAAGGAGGACACGATCCTAAGACCTCCTCCTTAGACATAGTTATAAATAGTGAGCTCAGTTATCATTGTAAGGGACACGAATTTTACGGAAAAACTTGTACTACATTCTATATAAAGCTTAATACAATCTTACTTTCTTGCTTTGTGATCTCATCATTGCTGTGTCCGGAAGCTTTGTTCCTGGAATTGTTATCTCCGCTGTTTCGTCTATATTTCAAGGCTAAGTATTGTACATTTCTTCAATTATTACATTATTTCAGGATCAAATTAGTTCACTTGTCTAGAAACCACGTATAAATTCAACTGTACCGTTTTACGGGTAAACAATTCCACCTGGATTTTACTTTTAAAATTATTCAATTGACTCCTAAAATTTAAGCAAAAACTCCTAATAATTAATACCAAATATTCTGTTTGGACAGAAAGAGTAACATATAAATGAGCAACAGCATCAGAACTCTTATATATTAATTACTTTTTCCTTTTCCATTTAATAATGAAAAAGGATATTGGCTTAGGTTGAAGTTTACATTGAGACGAGGAAATGTGAAAAAACGATTCAAACCAAAAAAAAGAAAGACGAAAAAGCAAACATGGCGCCAAAAGTTGTCTAATCAGGATAAATTGCTTTAGTTAGACCANATATATATATAGATATAATAAGATCACCCTACTCACTTATGTTACTGTTTTAAATTCATCTCAATATATAATAAATTAAAGTAAACGCTCTTCAATTTGCATTGTTCTCTTTAGCGTGCATAGAAAATCCATCCTGTCCTTTTCCACTCCCACCCTTTTCTCAAGATTTTCCTAGTTAACTTCTCTTTTATTCTTTTGTCTATATATACACAACAAACCCAACCTAGTTCTTTCATTTACCTTTATACCTAGCTCCTTCAACAAGTATCAAATTAATAATGAAGGAGTACTGTGGGAAGAATAGCAGCTCACCATGTGCAGGTTGCAAGCTGTTGAGAAGAAGATGTGGTGAAGATTGTGTTTTTGCACCTTATTTCCCAGCTGATGAACCCCACAAGTTTGCCAATGTTCATAAGGTCTTTGGTGCTAGTAATGTCAGCAAGATGTTACAGGTACGTACGTATTTTACTTTTTCTTTTCGTAATTAATTTTTTTTTGAGAATATATAAAGGGTTTTCAGAATAAAATGGAAGATCGTGATCTCTATTTAATTATTGGGGCTACATGCTTCTTCATGCACAATATATCTTCACTTTTCTTTTTGGGTTTTTGGGTTCGAAAAGGTGTCAAACCTATTTAAATTAATTGAGCGTCTGAAATATCAAAATGCCCCCTGCTTTTTCTAGCTAAAATACTGTTTTACACGATCTACTACTCAACATGAGATGGATCTAAAGACTCGTTTTATTAATAGCTAGTACACGCAGATTTATATGTACTTGCTCTGAATATGCTAATAGAGAAAAGATAATGTATTTTAACATGTGAACACATGCTAAAAAAAAATCCAAAAGCAGGAGTAAATATAATATAGCAGACAAATATACAAGTTTTTTTTCTTCTGAATTGTGCTAATTCATTTTCTTCAATTATATGATAAGTCTATTTTTGTTGACCCTAAATCCCAATTCGCTTACATTAATAAGTATATATCCTAAATTATATATTTCTTAAAATGCACGGTATAAAAAGTAGAAATTTTAACCATATTTGTCCCTCTTGATCTGATCAAATGTGCCAAATTTATTATCTATAGTCTTCATGGTTTGTCTCCAAACATTCACATAAGGAAACCAATGTATTACTTAATTCAATTATTTCTTTTCAAGTAATTAAAATTTTCCCATTTTAAGGTAATCTGGTCATATTTTCTTTTGTTATAATCTTTTTGAAGTGGCTTCTTCATTTAAGTTTAAAATATATACGACCTTTTATTTTTCAAGTTTCAGCTTTTCCAAACCCTATTTGGGCAGTGGAAAGAGAATAAGCAAGAGGTTCTTTAATTTAAATAAACAATCATGCTTTAGACCTTCTATTGCAAGGCAAGGGAAAACTTTGCTAAAAAGAGTATATATAGGGAGACAACAATCATCAAATTGTACCTGGAGTAGAACTTTTTTGACCACTTCTTTTGGTCAGATTATTTTCAAGTTAATTCTTTTTAAAAACAATTGTGTCTGAGACTAATTAGTCCCCAAATATTTATCGAAAAGACATGTAATCTACATGATCCATTACCACATTTATCTTTCTTTCGTTCTACACCCCCCCCCCCCCC